TGTATATCTCCTTTAATAAAGTGAGTTCTAGAGGGCAAGTTCCTTGTCTTAACGTTCTTTGAAACTACTAGTAATACTCAGCCCAGTGCCTGGCAGATAAATGTTAACTGAAATACACAGTCTCCCCAGCAGACTGATATAATGATTTTATGTGTCCTCAATACATACTGAGAAGTACTCTATTTTAGTTTTGTGGAGTTAAACTAAATTTGTTTAAATACAATTATTACATTTTAAATAAACAAAACATTTCCTGAGCAAACATTTATCAAAGCTGGTAATCTGTCCTGTTCCACTGGCCCACTGATATACTACCTCACAAATGCCAAATGTCCAAACAAATAATATTCCCCTTCTTTCAAAATAAGCTGTAATTGTATATACTGTTATAGGCCCAGAAACACCTGTTGACTGAAGCAATATTCAGATGTAATGATTTCACCTGCGTTAAGGGATGATGATTCTGTACCTGACTGACCCAAACTTCACCCCAGCCTCAAACTTTTTCTTGCTAAGGAACGAAAGGCCCAAAAGAATCAAATTTTCATATGCTTTATCACTCATATGAAATAGGATACTCAATATTATTATCCCATTTTATATGCAAGGTCACTGAAGACAGGGGTGATGACGTGTGATGAGATGGAAGTGTTCCATATACGTTCCAACTCTTAACTTACCTTCATTGGCGGAGAATTTCACCAGTAGGATGCGACCTGAGCTTAAAGCAATGAATATGGCTCCTAGTAGGAATGTGTACATTGTGGGCAAGGAGCACAGCATGGGATGGCCACTGCACTTGTCTTCCATTCCACTGGTTTTTAACTGTCTTAGAGAAAAGAATACTTTCCTGAGCAAATACAAGTATATACATGTGTTTATATATATATCTACATATATAAGCCAAAAAACCAAACCTGCTGCTGTTGAGTCGATTCCGACTCATAGCGACCCTACAGGACAGAGTAGAACTGCCCCATAGGGTTTCCAAGGAGCAGCTGGTGGATTTAAACTGCCAACCTTTTGGTTCACAGTCGAGCTCTTAACCACTATGCCACCAGGGCTCCAGAACAACAGCAAAGGAATTTTTTACATGTCTGGCTATAACTATATCAGAACAGAAAGTGGAGCAATATAGGAGAAGCTATGGAAAGGAGAAGAAAAAGTCAAAATCAACAGGAGGGGGATCTCTAGAGACAGAAAAGGCAGGGCCAGATTAGAAGTGCTGACAAAGGGAGTAAGTGAGCAGCGGCCACTCTGCGGTTGCACTGGAGAAAAAGAAAAAGGCAACTATGAGAAAGCAAACTCTCCTACCTTCTGAAGAAGAGTAAGGGCATCACCACGGGTACACCAGCCACTAATCGCTACAACAGTGGTTTTCAACTGGGGGTGACTGTGTCCCCAGGGGACATTTGGCTATTTATGGAGACACTGTCGGTTATCACAATTGGGTGAATGCTACTGGCATCTAGTGGATAGTGACCAAGAATGCTGCTAAACATCCTACAATGCACAGGCCGCTCCCCAACTAAAAACTGTTGTTGTTGCCAAGTGCTGTCGAGTTCTTTCCAGCCCATGGAGATCTTCTGTATAACAGAACGAAATGCTGCCCAGTCTTGTACCATCCTTAAAATCATTGTGTCAATCCATCTCACTGAGGGTCTTCCTCTTTTTCGCTGATCTTCCACTTTATGAAGCATGATGTCCTTCTGTAAGAATGGCATAAGGGTGCTGTCTGACTTCCTCTAGCTTCACAAGGGGAAAGGAGAATCAAGATCAACAGCCCAAGGCTGATTCCTGTGAGGCAGAGGTCAGACATGCCTCCTCTCTCCACCATCTTTACTAATTCTGACACCAATCATCTCTCCCACGGCACTCTCTACTTCTCTGCTGGGCTCGAAAGTTCATTGCAATGGCCACAGAGAATTCACAGACAATACTCACGATTATGGGGTTTATTAGGGAAGTATCAGGTTACAGTTCAGGCTCGGATCGCTCAGGATACAGTTCTTCCATCAGGACAGCTTCTTCCCAGCTGTGCTCACAGGCATGCCGCTCCCTGGCCCTCGGCCTCTGCCCAAAGGCACTCGGCTTTCTCTCTCCGTGGGCCGGGAAGCCCACCACGCCGTCAAGTCCATCACGCTGTCTCCTGCTGCCACTTCTCTGACACCACCTCTCACTGTCTTCAGGGCTATAGCTGTCTCCTGGGTCCAGGAGCTTCTCAGCACAGGGATCCCGGGTCCAAAGGACTTGCTGGCTCCTGGCTGTTCTTCCTTGGCGGTGATAGGATCCTCTCCTTTCTGCCTCTGTGATGGCTCATTTCAACCCCAGCAGTATGGCAAAACTGACCAGTCCCCTTGGTGGGCTACAGTTACACTATCTGCACATTCCTATCCAATCACTTGGGTGGAAGTCACACGACCATGGCTAGAAAGTCGACACAAAAGTGATCCATTGTACCACACCTTCTCTAGGGATTGGAACCTCCTAGTAAAATGTCCAAAGCAAGTGAGACAAAGTCTCACCATCCTTGCTTCTAAGGAGCATTCTTTATTTATTCAAATTTTTTTTTTTATTGTTGTACTTTAAGTGAAAGTTTACAATTCAAGTTAAGTCTCTCATACAAAAATGATACATACATTGTTACGTGACCCTAATTGCTCTCCCTATACTGTGACACACACTCCTCCTTTCCACCCTTGATTTTCCATGTCCATTCAACCAGCTCCTGACCCTCTCTGCCTTCCCATCTTACCTCCAGACAGGAGCTGTCCATTTAGTCTCATGTATCTGCTTGAACTAGGAAATACACTCTTCATGAGTATCACTTTATGTCCCATAGTCCACTCTAATCTTTGCCTGAAAAGTTGGCCTAAGGAATGGTTTCAGTTCTGGGTTGACAGAGAGTCCAGAGGCCATGCTTTCTGGGGTTCCTCCAGTCTCAGACCATTAAGTCTGGTCTTTTTACCAGAATTTGAGTTCTGCACCCCACTTTTCTCCTGCTCCATCAGGTACTCTCTGTTGTGTTCCCTGTCAGGGTGGTCTTTGGTGGTAGCCAGGCACCATCTAGTTCTGGTCTCAGGCTGATGCAGTCTGTTTTATGTGGCCCTTCCTGTCTCTTGGGTTAATACTTCCCTTGTGACTTTGGTGTTTTTCATTCTCCTTTACTTAAGCAGCATTCTTTAATGCAAAGTATCAATAGCATCAAAAGTGAAAAACCCTGCCCTAGAAGCAGTAGTCTCTGGGTTATACAAATGGATAATGTGCTGGTCTGATAACCAAAACGTGGGAGGTTCTAGTCTACCCAGAGGGAGCTCAGAAGAAAGGCTTGGCTATCTACTTCTGAAAAATTAGCCATTGAAAACCTCGTGGAGCACAGTTCTACTCTGACACACATGGGGTCACCATGAGTCAGAAATGACTTAGCAGCAGTTGGTTTACTGGGTTAGCCCTAGAAGCACTGGCAAAGGGCAAGTTATGCACAACTCACTTTAATAGTGTCATCAAACATCAGTGTCTCAGGCTGTGGCCAGCTCTGTAATCTAGTCTCCGAACAGGTCCACTTCATTCCCTGTTCTGATCATCCAGCTGCTGAAGCAGGGCATTATGATTTGGGAACTAGGCAATGGCCTGGACAGAAAATGACCTTAATTTAGATATTGCATGTTGAAAAACTTCCATACATATTACTCCTTGCAATGGCACATGTACATAAGGAGCTCCTGATAATTGTTGCTATGATCTTAGCATAAGTCATTTCAGAGTGGGCGGTAGTTGTTCCTCAGGTAATATCACCTCTTTCAGAATAGGCAAAAGACCTCTTTAAAGTGTTGAAAAGCAAAGATGTCACTCTGAGGACTAAGGAGCACCTGACCCAAGCAATGGTGTTTTCAATCGCCTCATGTGCATGCAAAGCTGGACAATGACTAAGGAAGACCAAAGAAGAATTTATGCCCTTGAATTATGGTGTTGGAGAAGAATACTGATTATACCATAAACTGCCAGAAGAATGAACAAATTTGTCTTGGAAGAAGTACAGCCAGAATGCTTCTCAGCAGCAAGGATGGTGAGACTTCATCTCACATACTTTGGACATGTTATCAGGAGGGGCCAGTCCCTGGAGAAGGGCATCATGCTTGGTAAAATAGAGGGTCAGTGAAAAAGAGGAAGACCCTTGATGGGATGGATTAACACAGTGCCTGCAACAATGGGCTCAAACATAGCAACGACTGCGAGCATGGCACACAACTGGGCAGTGTTTCATTCTGTTGTACGCATGGTTGCTATGGGTCAGAACCGACCTGACAACACCTAACAACAGAATGGGCAATACTTTCAAATTGGCTCATTATTCCTTTTCAGTCAATTCTATCATAGTATTTAGAAACTGACTACTGAAATGTCTAGCATTTGTGCTCCTTATTCCAATAATTTTTAAGTTTTCATTCTTATCAGTAACTTTGCTCTAAAAGACAATTTTGCGTTTGATTCTGATGGCACAGTGGTTAAAGGTAGGCAGTTCTAAATCAACAGCCGCTCTGCGGAGAAAGATGTGGCAGCTTCCTTCTTGAAAGATTACAGTCTTGGAAACGCTATGGGGCAGTTCTACTCTGTCCTACAGGGTCACTAGGGGGTCAGAATCTACAGGACGGCAATAAGTTTGGTTTGGTTTATTCTCCTCCTTAGTAGCAACTCTTCTCTAGGAAGAAAAAGCTTGCTGGGAAAAATTCAGGCGCAGTGGTTAAGTGCTGCGGCTGCTAACCCAAAGGTCGGCAGTTCAAACCCACCAGCCGTTCCTTGGAAACCCTATGGGGCACTTCTACTCTGTCCTAAAGGGTCGCTGTGAGTCGAAATCGATTCAGAGGCAACAGGTTTGGTTTTTCTTGGCTGGGAAAGATTCTGTTACAATAAAGATCAAAATGAAAATTTTCAAATACCGCTAATTTTCACTAAACCAGGGTTAGAAATAGATCTTAAGTATCAATGGGTTTAATACCTACCCTTTTTTGATATGCTGAGGGCACGAAACGCCAGGCAGGTTAAGTAACTTCTCCAAAGTAATCCAATGATTCGGTAGGGATGGTGCATACCACCAATGTGGGGACAGGTGAGAGATGGGCTTAACATGTCAACACTGACATTCTAACCGCGCGCAAGCGCATGGGACACCCAGGGACGCCTCGCCGGTCAGGTAGGCCCCTCTTCAGACATGCGCGCCCTTCTTCAGACATGCGTAGTAGGGAATCTCTGGTGGCGTGCCCTCCCCTCACACGCACGCACAGTTCTTTGCCAGCGGAGCGCGATTACCTCGGTCCCTCAAGAGGAGCTCGTAGCGGAAGAGCGCACATCGTATACCTGGGACAGTAACTGTCTAGCACCGCAGTAGCAGCAGTAGATTTTAGGGTCCACAGGCGGGGAAGCTATGGAAAGGAAAGAGGCGAAAAAGCCTCTGTCCCCAAGCCTCCTATTCCGGAACGTAAAGCCTGATAACGCCCGGATCGGGAAAGAGCGGAGCCGGAGCTCATTGCGCAGGCGCGTTCAATGTTCCGTTTCCGGAGGGCGGGGAGAAGCACGCTGGTCCCGCCCCAGCGAGGCGCTCTCGCGTCACGTGTTTGGAGAGTCCTGTGTCACGTGAGGCCCAGCGGCGGCGGAGCTACGGCAAGAGAGTGAGAGAAAAGGGAAGCCGGAAGGGGCACGAGTGGAGCACGGCGCGGGGGGAGAAGACAGCGCCCGAGAGGGCTAGGGGTGCGCGTGCGCCCGCTTCCCGCCAGCTCTCCGCGGGCCCGCTGCCTCTTTTGCGGCCGGGTGACAGCTCGGCCTTGCCCGCGCGCTGCCGTAGGCGCGAAGAGCGCGCCTGTCTTCGTGCGGCGCCGGCCGCCCCTCCCCCTCGCCCTGCCTGTCCCGTCGCGTCCAGTCCCCTCGGGTGGCGGCGGCCGGGTGCCGATCGGCGGCAGCGGGGACATTTCCTGACGCCTCGGTCCCTGTCCCGGCTCCCCCGGCTGCTTTTCCCACCCCGTCTCGGGGCCGGCCGCTACTCCGGTCCCAGGATGCAGAATATGATTAACACGGTGAAGGGAAAGGCACTGGAAGTGGCTGAGTACCTGACCCCGGTCCTCAAGGTAAGCCGGGCCGGGCTTGCCAGGGGCTGTCAGGCACACGCTCTAAGTCTGCAGGGACCGAGGACCGGGCGCCTGAGGGGTCCCCGTGCTCTGCGGCCAGCAAAGCTGTAGGAGGTGGTGGGGTGGAACCCACTCCCCACTCGTGGTCTAACCCAGCTGCTCTTTAGGGCTTTCTGGCCCCTAAGAAGGAAACTTGTAGCGACGCTGTGTGCTGTGTGCGCGCTTGTCTTCTTCCGTCAGAATTCAGTGCGTCTGGGTCGTTCCGGCTGGAAGGTGGTCTGCTGCTAAGTACGTTTAAGAAGTAAAACAGTAACATCAGAAGTCGTTTAAACTTTCTAAACAAGGATTTTGATTGTCTTAAAAGAAATCAGTGTTTGGTCCTAAAATGACTTGTCACTTTTTTCTTTCAAGTTTCGTGGAAAGTCTCTTATAGTTAGAAATACGAAATAGGTAAGTTGTGACTGAGGTCCCAACTTGTTTTAAGTTTCAGAGGGAAAAGGTGAAATTTGCAGCATTATCTTATTTAGTTCTATTAGCTAAGGAGCAAAAACCTACCTCTTTCAAGCCTTTAAAATAGTCGAAACTGGTTGTTAATCTTGAACTTAAGTGATACTAAGGAGTAGCTTCACCCTGCTATATATATTTTTTACATTTGGCAATACAGTAGTACAGTACTTTTACAGTAAAAATTGTGACACATTATTACAGAAGTTTTCTTGTTCTTTTCACAAATAAATTTCTAGAAGTGCGTTTAAATTTTTCTTTTATAACTTTAATACTAAGTGTTTTGTTGTCAGGTTATTTTTCCTTTCTGAAAAGCAAGCAGTAGAAATGCATGACAAGTTCTTGCTTAGTTTATTTTTTAATTTTCAGTTTTTAATTAAAATTTTATAAATCTTAATGTGGAAATGAAATTTCTTTGTGAATAGTTGACTTTCCTTATTCAAGAAGTTATGCTTGTGTGCTAAGAAGAATAAAAAACCAAAAAACCAAACCCATTGCCATAGAGTCGATTCTGACTCATAGTGACCCTGTAGGACAGAGTAGAACTGCCCCTTAGGGTTTCCAAGGCTGTAAGCTTTATGGAAGCAAACTGCTACATCTTTCTTCCTCAGAGCTGCTGGTGGATTTGAACCACCAACCATTCAGTTAGCAGCTGAGCACTTAGCCATGCACCACCAGGGCTCCTAAGAAGAACAGTAGACAGTATTACTTTCCTTCCTTTCCATGACAAAGAGAAATGCTCAGTCTGTTCTTTTGTATGCTTATTTCTGTGACTGCCTTTAAAAATGATTATTGGGCCAAGTTAAAATTAGGAAAGTTTATGAATGAGAATTCCAACTTTTGCATTGCTTATATTTGTTTAATGTGAAAGCCATCTTAATTCAGATTATTCAGTCAGCTGTTTAAAGTTGAAAATAATTTTGACTTTTGAATCCAATGCTGCTTTTGTATATTATTTTACCTTTTCAGAATAGCATGTCTACTTAGGTATAAACCCGTTGCCTTGGAGTCGATTCTGACTCATAGTGACCCTATAGGGCAGTAGAATTGCCCCATAGGGTTTCCAAGGAGCGGCTGGTGGATTTGAACTGCCAGCCTTTAGGTTAGCAGCCAAGCTCTTAACCACTGAGCCACCAGGGCTGTACCTAGGTATACAACATAAATAGTGTAGAAGTGTTAATACTTCTTAGTTTCCGGAAGAGAAGAGCAAGAGAAAAACACCTCCCTTATTAAAGGGATGGAAGGTTGAACTGAAAAGGAAGTGTTAGCATATCAGCATGTATGATGTATTCCTTTTAGTAATAAGGAAAAGAGAATTAATGACCCATTACTTCTCCCTCCCTGTGGAAACTACTGGCTTACAGACAGAATCCTTACAGTTTTCTACTAGAGGTGAGAAGGCAAAGAGACAAAACAAAATACTTAAGAAAGAAAGAATGGCCTCCTAGCAAGTAAAAATTAAGAATCATTTTTTGTGTTACTGTCAGACAGGCTTTGTCATGGTTTGAATTAATGTCCCCCCAAAAATGGGTATATCAGTTTGCCTGGGCCATGATTCCTGGTACTGTGTGATTTTCCTATATGTTGTAAATCCTGCCTCTATGATGTTAATGAGGGAGGATGGGTGGCAGTTGTGTTAGTAAGGCAGGACTGGATCTACAAGACTGGATTGTGTCCTGAGGCAATCTCTTGAGATATAAAAGACAGAAGTGAGCAGTGAGACGGGGGGGGGGTACACCACCAAGGAAGCAGTGCCGGGAGCAGAGCGCATCCTTTGGACCAAGGGTCCCTGCGCTGAGAAGCTGCTAGTCCGGGGGAACACTGATGAGAAGGCTGAGAGAGAGACAAAGCCTTCCACTGGAGCTGACACCCTGAATTTGGACTTTTAGCCTACTTTACTGTAAGGAAATAAATTTCTCTTTGTTAAAGCCATGCACTTGTGGTAGCAGCACTGGATGACTAAAACAGGCTTTTACCTCAGGGCTTTTGCATGTGCTCTTCCCTCTGGTAAAATGCTCTTTCCCCAGACTTGGCTTGTTCCTTTCTTAAGGTGTCTTCTCACATGTCACCTTATCAGTGAAGTCTTTCTTCTCTTGCCATCCTAGCCATCTTCATCCCTCCTACCATTCCTCTATGCTTCATTTGTCTTGATGGCATTCATTATGGTTTAGCATACCTTGTCTATTGTTTTTTCTTCCTCCACTAGAGCTTAAACTCCTTATGTGGATAAGGATGATTTGGGTCTGCTTTACTTATTGCTATATCTCCAGTGCCTTCAACAATGCCTGGCATATAGTTGGTACCCAGTAAATGTTTGTTAAATGAATAATGTTCTTCAATGAATCTTTTCGTTTTTGTAGACTCTACCATAAAATTTTATATATACCTTGAAATTTAGAAAAAAATTGGTACAATAACATCCTTGCTTTAGAGGTGAGAATATTATATCAACATCTTGGTAGAAATGAGAATAATGGACAAGTCCTTAAATGGTTTCTAGATTCAGTTTTTGTATTGCTCGATCTAAATAAGACATTGACTCAATTGTGCTGTGTCTGAACATCTTAAGACGTTTTTACTGTGTTGTAAAATAAAAACAGTTGGTCATCTTACAGAATTACTGTAAGGCTTCATGTTTATATAAACCTTGGAATGCTTTCCCAAGAACTTGCTCGGTGATAGCACCAAAGTTTATTATAATTATTTTCATGTCAGTTTCATCCGTCAGACTTGTATGTTCTTGAGGTCAGATACCACAGTTATATTCTTTTTGTTTTTTTTTTTAAATCTGCTTCATTGCCTAAAAAGGTGTCAGGAAAATTCTTGTCCCACAAATGTTTTTTAATTAAATGAATAAAAAATGCAAGTTTAACGGTTACTCTTTTTGCTTTCTTTAGGAATCAAAGTTTAAGGAAACAGGTGTCATCACCCCGGAGGAGGTAAGTATTAAATTGAAGAGATTTGGAGGCTGTTATATTTAGAGGAACAATTATTACATTAAACTCAATGGCTTTTTCTGCTTTGTAAGAAAACATTTTGAACTGTAATCTTGCTTTGAATAAAATTGGATTCTATTGGCTATATTTAGGAATTTTATAAAATGTACTACTTCCTGTAGAAGAGGAGATGTTACTTCCCTCTTAATTTGCTACTTCTCACATTTCTCTACTTCCTCTTTATTTAGAAATAAGAGTGGTGGAGGGATGGCAGATATTCCATGGTCGCTTATCCTTCACTCATGTTTGTGTCACATTAACCTGTGCAGTGGGCTCTGTAGTGTCTGCTCTCCTGGCTCTGTTTGCACCACATAGGAGTTTTCATGGCTTTCCTTTTGGAAACTTGGCTCACTGCTTGGACATTAATTTTTCTCTTAGTATTCGGCTTACATAGTTTAGTGCAACATACTTAACACTGATTCTTTTCCACCATTCTTTTACTTTTTCAGTTAACCAGGTTATATTGAAACTGCTGCTTAATGTTGGAAAGAACGGCCATCTTACAGGCCAGTTGTATTTTATTGAATTTTTAGCATAATGTTGTGTAGAGTTCACTTTTATTTAGTTAGTTTCATTTTGTTCTCCATAAAGAAGTGAATACTCAGCTAAAAAAAGTCCTTTTAGAATTTGGTATTATAAGCAGTTAACGGTTGTATCAGACTTACTTTTGTTCTTAACACATGGCACAGAATTTATTGGAGCTTGACTTTCAACTCTTACTAAAAACACCACTCATTGGCAATAGAACTTAATTCATTGTTTTGAAAGAAAAATTTTGCAGTGAGGCATGTTACGTGATCTGGCCACTGCTGTAAATTCCAAGACCTCAAGCCAGAGAATTAACTGGTTTTTCAATTTGCAATTGTCATGGAGTCTATAGAATCCCAAATCCTGGTGAATTCTAAGAATGATGTGCTGAACTAATCTTTTTATCTAAAATTATCTTGATTTTTAGTGAAGACACACGATGGTGTAAAAGAGCCTGGGAGACTCGCCTTCTAGACCAATTCCTCTGATTTTTTCTATTTTCACTTGGACAAGTCAGTTCAGCAGTCCAGGCCTAGGCCTCCGTTTCCTTGTTGTGAAAATGGTGCAGCTGACCTCCTCTAACTTTCCAAAGGGGAAGGGGAGTCAAGATCAACAGCCCAAGGCTAATTCCTGTGAGGCAGAGGTCAGATATGCCTTCACCCTCCAACCTTTTTTACCAGTTCTGACACTAGCCGTCTCCCACAGCACTGTTTACTTCTCTGCTGGGTTCAGTAATTCGTTACAATGGCCACACAGAACTCACAGACCATACTGACAGTTATGGGGTTTATTAGGGAAATAACAGGTTACAATTCAGGATCAGGAACAACTCAGGATACAGTTCTTCGATCAGGACAGCCTCTTCTCAGCTGTTCTGCAGGCAGGTCTCTATCTGGCCCTCACGCCCATGGCTTGGCCTCTACCCTGCTTGGGCAAGTGTTACAAAGCTCTTTTAGCTCCTCCAGTAAGTGTCTGGAGGCACCCCACTCCGCCAGCAAGTCTTGTGCCCGAAGGTGCTCAACTTTCTCACTCTGAGGGCCAGGAATCCCACCGTGCCGTCTCCAGCCTGTCTTCTGGTCCTGCCTCTGCTTCCCTGCTGCTGCCTCTCGCCATCTCTGGTGTTACAGCTCTTCTTCCCTGTCCTGGTTCTGCTGCCTCTCTCTGTCTTCCATGGTACAGCTTCCAGCTCCCCACTCCCCGCCCCCCCCGCCGGGCCATCTCCCTTTAAGCCTAGTGGGATGGCAGAACTGCCCAATCCACTTGTTAGAGTTCCATACACCTTATTTGCATGGTCCCATCCAGTCATTTGGCAGGAGTTACAAAGGCTGTGGCTAGAAGGGCCCATATTAAGTAATTCATTGCACTACACTCATCTATAAAATGAGAGATTTTTGCTAGACATTCTCTAAAGGACCCATTCTACTTAGTTACCTAGTGCCGCTGTAACACAAATACCACAAGTGGATGGCTTTAAAGAACAGACATTTATTTTCTCACAGTTCTGGAGGCTCAAAGTTCAAATCCAGGTCTTGGGCATGGTGATACCTTCCTTGTCTATATCCGTGGGCATTTTTCCTTCCTTGGCTCATAGACGTCCTTCACATGGTGTCTGCCTTTCCCAGTAAGCACGTACCTGCCTCTGCCTGTGCTGCTCGTTATAGAATTCGAGTTACAGGTTTAAGATCCACACCCTACACAGTTATGATCTCAGCTGATTGATGTTACTCTAGATCGTATTATTGAAGGTGATTACATTACAGTAGGTTAGGTTGCATCCACAGATATGGGGGTAAAATACCTATTTTGAGAGGACACAATTCAATCCATAATATTACTTTAGCCTTCATGAGTTTAATACATTGAGTGCCAAATAAAACTAGGATTTGATCTTAAGGATATCATTAAAATTCTTGCCAAACGAAGCTATAATTTAGACATGACTCTTGAAACTATCTGAAATGAAGAGGAGAGATGAAAGTATTTTATTTTTCTTGTATGCTCTGACTTTATCTCCTCTGTGTGGAGATGACCAATTGGTAAATAAATAGTTGGAGTTAGAGATGCAAGTGTGTGATCATTGGATAGAATTAATTGTTAAAGCAGGCATTAATCCTATGGTTTTGGCATTTATCTTCTAATTTAGAATAACTGTTACACTGAATTCATTTCTGAATTTTTCCCTTTTTTAAAAAATCCAAGACAAAACCAGCCCAGCAGGGTACCAAGGACATCATGTTGGATTGGGATAGAGCCCCATTATTCGATTGAGGCAGGCTAGAATGATCCTGGAGGGGGAAAATGGCAAGACACCAGTTTGCTTTGTATAAATACAATACTGAGTTGATCTGTTCATTTCTTTCCTCTTACTCTGTTTCTGGGCTTCTGGCTGTTAGCCTCCGGCTACCGTTTAGTTTTCAACCAAGGGTATGGAAGTACTGTGTTTAAAAAGAGGGCAAACAGTATGTAATACTGTATTGTCTAGCTAAAAATACTTAAGTGTTGGATTTGTGTATGACTTGATTAAGTAGAGTACTATTAATAGAAGGTAGCATGAGAAATAAAATTGCTCACCAGAAGTTAATATCAATTTTATCTTGTTGGAGTTATTCAGTATTTTATGTTGATGATAAATCTCACAAGAGAATATTTAATTACTGAGAAAAAGCTATGTAAGCAATATTGATAATTTAGAAATTCGAGTCCATGTTTGTTTTATATTTTAGTTCATTTGAACATTTGAAGCAGGTAGTCATGGTCATTGTTAATGAGGACAGATGTATACACGTGTTAAGTACTGGTTCGCTTCCATTTCTCCTATAGCTTTTCCTTACCTTCTAGTGTTTTTTTTTTTTTTTTTTAAATAGATGCCACCAGAAGGACCATGGGATAAAATATTAGAGTCTTATGACTTCTGGGCAATATCATTAGCTTTAAAGAATTTTTCACTTTTAATTTTTTGCTGTGCTTCATAGCAACCCTATAGGACAGAGTAGAACTGCCCCATAGGGTTTCCAAGCAGCGGCCACTAGATTCGAACTGCCAACCTTTTGGTTAGCAGCCTGAGCTAACTGTGCCACTGGGGCTCCTCCACTTTAATAGTTTAATACTCTTTTGGTGGTGATCAATTAGTTTCTGGTAACCACAGAGGTAAATGTATTGTCTGCTTTCAGTGAACCCAAATACTTAGCACTTGGGGGAGAGAGTGTTTTTGTGTTTTATTTTGGTTTTTGTTTTTACCTCACCAGTTTAAATAATAAAAAGATTTATTAAAATAAGAGAATAAACATTTATAAAGTGACTGTTGGAAATATTATATCACTGTTGCAATACTGGTAAGTCTTGTTAATGTATTGTCTGAAAAGAGGTTATTCTCAGAGTTCTTGATAGAATTTTACTCTCTGAAGTTAGAGTATTGTATATAGACATACCTTTTTCAGAGAGGCATTAGAAGATTAAAGATACTGTAACTTTTTCGCTGTGGAATAAACTCATACGCAGAATAAAATGGGTTTAAGTTAGAGCTGTTATGAAACAAGTAATGGGGAAAGTTTGTGTGCACGTTGCATGAGTTGGGACGTTGAAAATTATGGTTAACAGACTTCTGTTTCCTACTCTCAAGAATAAGCAGGATTTCTGTCCTCCGGTAAGGCTAGCTTCTGCCCAGACTGGAAAGTCTCAAAAGGTGAAACTCTTTCTCCCTGAGTCTGTTTTTTATTACTGGATTTAAAAAAAAAACAAAAAACAAAAACATGTAGAATGATCAACTTGCTCAGAAAGTGAAGTTTGTTAGATGATTCAATTTCTTAATTAACTACATGTTTTCAAAGTCATTCTAAAAGCTAACTTTTTTCCCCATTCTTCAGCACTACAATTCTCTGTTGTTAATGATTCCTTTAAGAGTGAAGAAAGGTTTCAAAATTGGCGATTAACTAATTTAAGGGGGGAGAAAAGAGGAGGAAGAGCCATGCACTGTGATGTAATAAGCTAGCCTTACACCATAGGCTCGTAGATACTTAGCAGCTTTTTTCAGAGGTGTTCAGTGAATTTTCAAGCAATACCAAGAATCTCTCTACATTTTATTTATCCCTGAAATGTTCATTGACATTTTAAATCCTGTAGCCTACCTTTATTCGTTTTACGATACTGTGTGCTCTTAACGAGGCCTGGTGGCAAAGTGATTAAAGCAGTTGACTGCTAACTGAAAGGTCGGCGGTTCGAAACCACCAGTGGTCTATGGGAGAAAGATGTGGTGGTCTGCTTCTGTAGAGATTTACAGCCTTGGAAACCCTATGGGTAGTTATGTGTCAAAATCGACTTGATGGTAGTGGGGTTTTTTTTTTGGGGATGTGCTGTTAGCATTATTTAACCTAATAATAAAAATTGACTTTTTTTAAAAAATAGCAGTCAATGTTTTTTTCTTCCAAAAATTGTTTGAATTTTTATGGATGTTAAAAATGTTGTAAATTAAAAAAAAAATAAATTTTCAGATAGTGTGGAGAAGGTTTAGTGCAGTTTACATTTTAAAGTAATGTCCGGTACCAAAGTGGTACAGAGTGATCAGTTTGGTATTTTACCACCCTGCATTCAATAATGTTCACTTTTTCTTTTTCTCTCTTTTCATATTCTTTCTAAATCCTGAATAGTTTGTGGCAGCTGGAGATCACTTAGTCCACCACTGTCCGACATGGCAATGGTAAGTAATTTTGAGTGAAGAATAGAAAATTAGATAAAAGCTATAGCTTCAAAATTATGGCAATTTGAAAAATAGATTAGTAAATGAAAATTAGGATGATCACCTTGATCCTCTTCTATTAGATTTTTCTGCTAAACAGGGCCCCAGTGATACTCAAGGTAAAATAAGAGTAGAAAAAAGTGGGTATTATAGGTATTTTGTTTTGCTGTGTTAGCAGAAAAGATGGACGTTTTTGAGATAAATGCTTGTATTTCCTTTACTGGTATTTTTTTTTCTTTATCTAGGCCTGATCTTGTGGTGGTTCTTTAAAAAATACTGTTCAGGAGTTTAATAAATTTGATCAGTTCATTTATTCAAATTAGCAAATTTATTGCATTTTTTTTAATGTTCTAGGTCCCACACAAACTGGCACTGATGACTGGAGAGGGATTTTGCAGAGTCTCGTGCTTTAAAACATAAGATATTAGCTTTTTTTTTCTTTTTTTTTTTTTTACTACTCATGGTGACCCCATGTGACAGAGTAGAACTGTTTCATGGGGTTTTCTCTTTTATTATACTTTAGATGAAGGTTTACAGAACAAATAGTTTCTCATTAATCAGTTAGTACACATATTGTTTTATGACAATGGTTAACAACCTCACGACATGTCAACACTCTCCCTTCTCAACCTTGGGTTCCCTATTACCAGCTTTCCTGTCCCCTCCTGCCTTCTAGTCCTTGTCCCTGAACTGTTGTGCCCCGTTAATCTCATTTTGTTTTATGGGGCTGTCTAATCTTTGGCTGAATGGTAAACCTCGGGAGTGACTTCATTACTGAACTAAAAGGGTGTCTGGGAGCCATACCCTCCGGGTTTCTCCAGTCTCTGTCAGGCCAGTAAATCTGGTCTTTTTCTGTGAGTTAGAATTTTGTTCTATATTTTTCTTCAGCTCTGTCTGGGACCCTCTATTGTGATCCCTGTCAGAGCAGTCAGTGGTGGTAGCTGGGCACCATCTAGTTGTTCTGGACTCAGTCTGAAGTAGGCCGTGGTAGTTGTGGTCCATTAGTCCTTTGGACTGATCTTTCCCTTGTATCTTGTTTTCTTCATTCTCCCTTGCTCCCGAAGGGGTGAGACCAGTGGAGTATCTTACATGGCTGCTCACAGGCTTTTAAGACCCCAGACGCTACTCACCAAGGTAGAGTGTAGTACATTTTCTTTATAAACCATGTTATGCCAGTTAAGCTAGATGTTTCCCGAGACCATGGTCCTCACAGCCCTCCACCCAGTAATTTGGTCCCTCAGGGAGTTTGGATATGTCTGTGGAGCTTCCATGACCTTTCCTTGTACAAGTTGTGCTGGCTTCCCCAGTACTGTGTATTGTCTTACCCTTCACGAGAGTTAGCATTGTAACTTATCTACTGTCTATTTAGTATTTCCCCCACCCCTCCTATCTGTCTTAACCAACAAAGATTGTTTCTTTTTGTGTTTGAACTTTTTCATGGGTTTTTACAATAGAGGTCTCATACAATATTTGTCCTTTGTGATTGACTTATTTCACTCAGCATAATGTCCTCCAGTTTCATCCATGTTATGAGATGATTCACAGATTCATCGTTGTTCTTTCTCGTTGCATAGTACTCCATTGTGTGTATGTACCATAGTTTGTTTATCCATTCATCTGTTGGTGGGCATCTAGGTTGTTTCCATCGTTTTGCTATTGTGAACAATGCTGCAGTGAACATGGGTGTGCATATGTCTATTCGTGTGATGGCTCTTATTTCTCTAGGATAAGATACAAACGTTTTCTATTGAAGTTCAAAAGCAGTATCCCTCTTTAGGAATTAGCTCAAAAATTAAAAGGGGCATGATTAAGATCTTAACTGTAAATCTGCATATAAAAGACTTAAAGTTTGTATTTTCTTTATTAACTTTTCTTTTGATTACAAAAGTAGCTTGAACAATTTAGCAGTTCTTGTAACAGATATCTTAAAATATTCTGAATAATAACAGTGTTTTAAAAGAAATATGGTTTCATTGCTTTCAAGTACTTATGGTAAAACTACCTGCCAGTGGCTGAAGAATGATCCCAATACTGACAGAACTCTTGAAGTAGGCTAGAATTGTTCGGCATTATCACCTTTTTGGGTATAGGTGCTTCAGTACTTCTATACTCCCTCCTTCCCCCACCCCAGTGACACTTTTTTATTGTAGTTCAAATGGACGTTTTTTATTTTGGGGCAGGAATTCTAGAATTAATGAGATTCTAATGGAAGCATTTTTGAAGACCTTAAATAAACTATTTTAAGCCATAGGTGGCACTCTTTTCCACCTGTGGTCTATTTTATTTTCTTTAGTTTTTATATTTAGCATATACTCAAGACAGTTGTCACTGCTTTTTTATCAGTTGCTCTTTATTGTCTAGGGCATTGGTTTTTATGTACTAAGTAAAAGCCAAATTTCAGGCTCATTTATGTCTATGTCCTTTTTCTTCTCCACATGTATTTCTGTTCCATATTTAAAATTGAGTTCATATCATAGAAGCTTTCTGATTTAGTAGAAGGTGGTTGGCTTTTTTTCCCTTCCATCTAAATTGTCTGTTAAAAATGTATTTACTAAATTTTTATCTATAACTAGGATTTATATTTATTAACTTACAGTTTTAGTCAAATAGGTATATAAAAGTTGACTTATTCATTTTATTAAGAGAACTAACTTAAGATTTTCTTCAGCATGATAAATATGTTGTTATGTGCCATTGAATCAGTTCTGACTCATAGCAACCCTATGTACAACAGAACGAAACACTGCCTGGTCCTGTGCCGTCCTCAAAATCATTGTTATGCTTGAGCCCATTGTTATAGACACTGTGTCAGTCCATCTCGTTGAGGTCTTCCTTTTTTCAGTGACCCTCTACTTTACCAAGCATGATGTCCTCCCCACACTGGTCCTTCCTGATAACATGTCCAAAGTACATGAGACGAAGTCTGGCCATCCTCGCTTCCAAGGAGCATTCTGGCTGTACTTCTTCCAAGACAGATTTGTTCTTTCTTTTGGCAGTTCATGGTATATTTAATATTCTTCACCAACACCAAAATTCAAAGACATCAATTCTTCTTTGGTCTTCCTTATTCATAGTCCAGCTTTCACATGCATATGAGGTGATTGAAAATACCATGGCTTGGGTCAGGCGCACCTTAATCCTTAAAGTGACATCTCTGCTTTTTAACACTTCAAAAGATTTAAAAAACAGCAGATTTGCCCAGTGCAAGACATCATTTGAATTCTTCACTGCTGCTTCCATGGGCGTTGATTATGGATCCAAGTAAAATGAAATCCTTGACAACTTGAGTATTTTCTCTGTTTATCATGAGGTTGCATATTGATCCAGTTGTGAGGATTTTTGTTTTCTTTACATTGAGATGTAATTCATATGAAGGCTGTAGCCTTTGATCTTCATCAGTAAGCACTTCAAGTCCTCTTAACTTTCAGCAAGCAAGGTTGTGTCATCTGCATATCCCAGGTTGGTAATGAGTCTTCCTCCAATCCTGATGCCCCTTTCTTCCTCATATAGTCCAGCTCCTCGGATTATTTGCTCAGCATACAGATTAAATAACTGTGGTAAAAGATACAACCCAGACACACACCTTTCCTGACTTTAAACCACACAGTATCCCCTTGTTCTGTTTGAACGACTGCCTCTTGGTCTGTGTACAGGTTCCTCATGAGCACAATTAAGTGTTCTGAAATTCCCATTCTTTGTAATGTTATCTGTAATTTGTTATGATCCACACTGTTGAATGCCTTTGCATAGTCAATAAAACACAGGTAAACATCTTTCTGGTATTCTCTGCTTTCAGCCTAGATCCATCTGACATCAGCAGTGATATCCCTTGCTCAATGTCCTCTTCCGCTTTATTTCATCCACGGCATTAAGGTCGACTCTACTTTGAGGAGGCAGCTCTTCCCCAGTCGTATTTTGAGTGCTTTGCGAACTGAGGGACATCTTCCAGCACTATATCAGACAGTATTCCGCTGCTATTCATAAGGTTTTGACTGGCCAGTTTTTTGAGAAGTAGATCGCCACATTGTTCTTCCTGGTCTTAGTCTGAAACCTCTGCTGAAACCTGTCTACCATGGGTGACCCTGCTAGTATTTTAAATACCATTGCACAACTTCCAGCATCACAGCAACACACAAGCCACCACAGTGCAGGAAACTGACAGATGAGTGGTAGATGATAAATATACATTTTCTTTATTCAGATTGCTTTGTCATAGCTGTTAATTATCTAATTAGTTTAGGTATTGATTTATGACATTATTATAGACGTTTGTCTGTATGGGCATGATTTTTTTCTTTTAGCAGGTATTGGTAGTTTATAGTTCCACTTTATGAATTGGGAGCCCTGGTGGTAAAGTGGTTAAGAGCTACGACTGCTAACCAAAAGACTGGCAGTTCGAATCCACCAGCCACTTCTTGGAACCCCTGTGGGGCAATTCTGCTGTGTCCTATAGGGCCACTATGAGTTGGAATTGACTCATCAACGAATTTGGTTTGGTTTTATGAATTGTAGAGGTTGAAATAATTTTATTGTAATTTAGGACTCAGTTATAGCTTACTCCAATGTCCACATATCTGGCTGGGTTTCTGGGTCCATAGGAATAATCCATTTTAAATCAGTGCTAGAAACAGGTTCTTGCTGTGCCATACCTTCCTATATATAAGCCCAAAGGACCTTCCGGAATGTTCCTCCTTCGGTACTGTGGCATTTACCAAGATCTTGTTGAATTTGAGACTTGGGAATGGTCTAGAGAAGCCAAGAAGGCTGCCAGATGATACTGGAGTGCTTCCTGGCTTTATCTGGTGCTTAAAAACCTATGGTGTGAACTTATGACTGAAGCTGAAGAAGGCAGCAGAGTTCCAAATCGATGCTTGTATTATTTGTGGCAGCCACCAGATGTCACCCTAGCTAGCTCTAACCAATTCCAATAGATGACCCACAGAAAAATCTTTGAACGAATTCTTCATGAGAGATTCCAGTGTGCTCTAGAAAAATTGGATTCTAACTAGTTCTAAGGGAGCGGTGTTCCAGAACAGGAGCCCTGGAGTCTTTGGCTTTATCTTGCTTGTTCCTCCTGATTTTGTGACCCTGGGCAATTTGACTTCTTTAAGCTTTAGTTTACTTACCTATGAAGTTGGGATATTACTATCACCTACCTAAGGTTATGTGGATCAAATGAAAATAATGCATTGTAAGTCTTGTACTTTGTAAGTATTCAGTAAAAGTATGTTTTTCCTCATTTTTCTCAACATTGCCATTTTGTGATTCGAAGCATCTTGTCTCCCTCAGTTCTGATTTTAATACGGCGATAGGAGTAGGCTCTTTGAAGCCCGCTTGTCATGTAATGTCACGCAGCAGCTTTTCTGCCTCCTCTTGGCCTTGGGAGGAGCACTCCTTTAGGAGTAAGAGTAGGAGATTCTACAACGGGCTGCAGCTCACTGGGGAACAGCGTTTTCTTTCTATTTAAAGATAAACATAATAGTTGTTTAATCTATGTTATTCTATCCTTTTTTCTAATATTTAACACAAATTCTCTTAGGTCTGTCTGTATCTCTTAGTACATTTCACTTTTAATATAAGAGTTGTGCTTTTCTATACCCTGGGCCAGTATATGCTTGGAGGTAATTACTTAATGGCATCCTTTCCAAACCAGTACTAATACAGCTTTCTCGGGCATGGATTATGTAGTTTGGGATTTATATGTGATATCTTTTGTTCCATATTTGCCTTCTAATTGTTTTTTCTTTTTGGTGCTATTCACTGTTTTCAAAGGGCTTCAGGGGAAGAATTGAAAGTGAAGGCGTACCTCCCAACAGGCAAACAATTTTTGGTAACCAAAAATGGTAAGAATTATGTTGTATGTATTAGAAAACTTTGCACAGAGTTATATTAAAAACAAAACAGCAGCACCATAACATTTACTGGTCTTAATTTGTACTTAAAGCTGTGCTTACAGATTCTCTCAGACGAAAATTTGGAAATGTTAATGAAGTGTCGCGTTTTCTATTGCTGGAGTTTTTTTTTGTTTGTTTTTTTTCCATTTTCTTAGTTGGCCTTTATCTACCCCACCCTCCTTTTTTTTTTTGCCAAAAAGATCTAATTGTCTAATTTGAAGAAGAAGGTCCTAAGCACAAAGTTGGGCTTTGTCTAACTGGGCTTTTTTTTGAAGTTAACATCATAATCAGTCTGTTTAGGCATTTGACTTTAATTTTCTTTAGATTTAAATTTTTCATGGAAAATGAAATTGATACTACCTATGACATCTAATCTCCAAGCTAAAGATTTTATTATCTATTATGTCATTGAAGGATTGCTTATAGGCACAAAAAATATTTTTGAAACAGGCAGAATTTTGTTTATGAACTCAATATGAAAACAACACCAAAAGGTTGTTATCATCCCTATTTAATCACAAAGCAATACATTGATTTCTGTTCATATTCGACCAATATGGGAGAGGGAAAATAATATGTACAAAGCGTAAGTTTTTTGTTACCTATGGCATACTTTCATTAGGATTGATAATTATTATACCCTGTCTTGTTAAAAAAAAAAAAATCGGATTTGTTAACCCTACTATCATGATGCTTTTACCCTATAGTTCCTCAATTTTAGGCTTGTAAGTAATAATACCCGTTAATTGATGTATCTGCTGTGTGAAAGACTTGGCATTAGTATTATATGTTGGAGTAAAATTCAGCAGTTAAGTGGATTTTAAGGTGCTCTATCCATTGAGAATACCTGGAACTTAAATATGAATCATGAAATTCATATCGAAAGTTCCTTTTTTTAGCCTTGGAGACTCGAAGTCACCTCTCCCACCCTTGAGGATGACAGGTGCTGCCTCCATGTTCTGAGAGTCAAACCATTAAAATAAGGCATTATCATTCGTTAGCCTGAAGCTGAACGGTGTCTCCTATGACTTCAGCTTGCTGTTCTTCACAGGTCATCAGGTAAAGGAATACACAGATCACTCCCAGCAGAGCACTTTCTCTTCTCTTCTGACACAGCTGTTTAGGGAAAGATTAATGTAGCTGAATAATTGAGTGTCTGTGGGTTGAATATAACTCTTAAATTAATCACTTTCATTAAAAGTGAAATATAATATTACAGAATATATTGATGATGCAAATAGTCTTAATGGAATAAAGCTTGATGAAGAATAAACTTTCCCTTTTTTCTAATGGACTTATGGGTAGCAGGTTAGGTGCTAGTAACTGACTTGCCACTTTTTTAATAGTGCCCTGTTACAAGCGGTGCAAACAGATGGAGTATTCAAATGAATTGGAAGCTATCATTGAAGAAGATGATGGTGATGGGGGATGGGTAGACACATATCACAACACAGGTAAGAGGAGACCAGAGTGGCATATATTCTGTTTAAATTGTTTTAAACTCTTTTACAACGTTTTCTAACAGCCTTGATCAAAAAAAAAAAAGACGATACATAACGTGCAGTTTTGTCCCCAGTAAACTTTATCTGAAAGAGGCAGGGGGACAAATCGGCAAAAAAGACCAAAAAAGTCCTTGGAATATACCAGATTTTTATACTACCTTCTGCTGCAGTTGTACTTTGAAAATATGATCCACGTTATTTTTTGTATTTCTAAATAAAGTCAGTCCTGTGTGCATCCTCCTTAACTTTAAAATCCCTTGCTTACATGTCATTCCACTGCTGGATTATGAGCTCCTTGAGGACAGGAACCTTGTCATATTCATATTATTTTACCCAGGTAATGTAACAAAATACCTGGCATTGCGAAGTATTGAATAATTAGTTATTGAATGATTATAGAAAGATATTGAAGACTCTATAAACTCCATGAGATTAAGATTCATTGTTGAATTCTCAGTGTCTGTCATAGTGCCTGGTACAGAAGTTATTCAGCAAATAGTTGTTAAACACATTGACTGAATGTAAGCGTTTCGTAAGTGTGTGTTTGCCAGTTTTCAAAAGCCTGGGTATGTTTTCTTTTATTCCAAGTCCAAAAAATCTATTTCACCATTATATTCATGTAACTATGTAAATGCATGATATTGCATGCAGATATAGCTAGCTACCGTTTATGACTCATTTTACTGATGGAAATGTGGTTCTGAGTTTAAATCCAGTTCTTGAAAGCATATTTTCTCCCTCTAAGTTGTAGAGACTAGGAGGTATATAGATCTTCAGCAACAGAGTATGGCTTTCCATCATTGGCACTGCTGACATTTTGGATCAGATAATTCTTTGCTATGGGCAGCTTTCCTGTGCATTGTAGAATATTGAGCAGTGTCTCTGGCCCCTGCCCACTAGATGCCAGTAGCATCCCTCCAGTTGTGACAACCAAAAATGTCTCTAGACATTGCCAAATGTTGTATGGCTGGCAGAGCTGCTGCCCACCGCTGAGACCCACTGCAACAGACAGAGGGCTAAGTAATGGGCTCAGGAAGAGTCCCTGTTTAGGCCTGTTCTCTGCTGCTAATAAGGGGTACTGCCACTTGTTTCCTTTTGGAGAGAAGGCACAGACTCATAACTCCCCTGTGTTATTCTAACAAGACTGGGCTTCTTGATCTGAAGCTCATTTGCTTCTTAATGAGTTAGAGTTGCTGTGTCAAGGCCTACAGGAGATGATGAATTAAACAGACTTTTAAAATAATTTCAAAAATCATCTTCTTCCCCTCCACTGAGTAGTGCTGTTAGATCTTTTTTTGTTCCTCAAAGTCTTTCAGCTGCTTGCTTTAATTTTCCCATGGAATTTTCTGGACGATGTGAGCAACACATTTGTAGTAAAATTGTCTGTTGACTGACTGGAGCCATTGGTTAGAGCCCTGTGTTTCTAGTGTTGAGTTACTGAGTTACTGTGTTGTCCAGTTGTAGCCTATTCCATAATCACGACCCCAAAATCCAGGTGCATGTTTACAGAAGCATTCATCACAGAGCTAAGCAGGAGTCAGAACAATTGGATTGATGAAAATCTGTTACAGAAATTGGACTAACAACTAAAAAGTACTGATACGGGATAAGTAACATTATTTTCACATATGGAAAACAACATAGTAGTATACTGCAGTTAATTTGATATATTTAATAAATTCTAACCAATGTCTATGAGAAATGCCTTTAGAATCTTAGGTTTAAGCTATATTCCAGTTTAATTAGAGCAGTGCTTCCAATCAAATCAAAAGGCCAGATGCTTTGCTTTATGCCTGCTTCTCTTCTCCTGGGCTTCTTTATTTTCCATTAGTCCTTGAAAATGTTAGTTAGCCTCATTAGAGTAATATGAGTTTTCTTTTTCTTTGCCAGTCATGTCCTACTTTTAGAAGAATCTGGTTTAATGGAGTACTGCTACAGTATTATATTTTAAAGATTGAAGAGGTTCATTTTCTTTGTATCTATGTTCAGGAGTTAGTGAATTGTTTTGTAATATCAGTTAGCTATGTTAAATATTTGGGTTTAACAGTTATAAAGTAACTCATACCTATTATATATAATAGTTTCTAGGAAAACTTCTAGGAGGTAAAGGCTTTATGCAAGATCTGTGGATTCGAGGTTTTCCATTTGTGAAAGTGAGCTAATCTTTCTTTTAGTTATGTTGAACAGATGATAGCAACGTTTTCGAAGATTAACAAAGGAGCTAAACATACTTTATTTTTATTGTGATTTACATGAAAGTTTACATAGCAAATTAGTTTCTCATTAAACAGTTAATACACAGATTGTTTGTGACATTGGTTGCCAACCCTGTGGTGTGTCAACACTCTCCCCTTCTCCACCCCAGGTTCCCTGTTTCCATTCGTACTGTTTTCCTGTGCCTTCCTGCCTTCTCGTCTGTGTTTTGGGGCTGGTGTGTCCATTAGTCTTGTATACATGATTGAACTATGAAGCACGTCCCTCATGCGTGTTATTCTTGGTCCTGTAGACCTGTCTAATCTTTGGCTGAAGGGTGAACCTTAGGAGTGACTTCAGTACTGAGTTAAAAAGGTGTCCGGGGGCCATACTCTCAGGATTTCTCTAGTCTTTGTCAGATCAGCAAGCCTGGTCTTAGCATATTTTGTTTTTAAAGTAGTTTAGCTACTATTGTTTGATTGGATTTCCCATCCTTGTTAATCTGTTTGAGAACACAGACAGATACTTTGAATTAGAAATACTATCTAGCTGACTGGTACTACTGTCATCTGCTGAACACCTTCACTGAGAGCATAAACCAGAAGTCAGCAGGTATGAGTTGGAATCCTAGTTCTTCGCTTCACTGGCTTTGAGACTCAAGCAAATAATTTTTCAAACTCTGGAGACGTCATTTCTTCATTATTATCCTAACTACCTCACAGATAATTAGTATTTGTGTGGATTAAATGAGTTGTGGAAACAGTAAAACAGAAAGACCCATATAAACTTCTTATAGAGAGTAATTATTATTCTAACGACCTCACGGGTAATTAGTGTTTGTAAGAGTTAAATGAGATGTGGAAACAGGAAAGTAGAATGTGATATGGTATTTACCACCTCTGGACAGCCTAGATTTCTGAAGCAAATAGCAGTATTAACATCAGCAATCCCTTGTTGGGGAAATTTTGATGCAGGTTTAAATAAAGTGTAGATACGAGTCCTGTAATCTCTTAATTTGTTCAGTTTCTGAGAATGAATGTCTACTTACATAGAGACTCAAGTAAGGAAAATAAAGAAACATAAATGAAGAAGGATGGAGTAGGCTAATTCTTGGTAAAATATTACATTGATATGTTTCCAATTAATTTGAGAGGTGCCTTTGGGATTATTTATTCCTATTAGAGTTCATTTGCAAAAATGCTGTGAACGTTTGCTGCCTGATTTCAAAGAAGCTATGTGAATTTAGATATTTTTATGTGTCTTTATATTGTTCTAATCAGGTAAATGGGGGTGTTTAACAGCTTGATTTTAGTTATTCTTGTCTGTTGAATTTTAAACAGGTATTGCAGGAATAACAGAAGCTGTTAAGGAAATTACACTGGAAAGCAAGGTACTGGTTAATTAGTTATATTTCTAACTTTAATGATATAATTATTGCTAATAATTATATTTTTAAGGTCACCTTTTTTTTTTTTCACCCAAACTCTGGTTATTTATTATCAAATTCTAAATTCCAATTTTTTCTCCCCCCTCCCCCTCCATTTTTCTACACAAATATATAAAAAAATTACTGTTTCCTATTGCTTCCCTTTTTTTCCTTAATCTGAAAAACATTTTTTTAGATTCTAACTGGTAGAAACTATTTTTCACAGATTAAGTCTGAAAACTTGAATTCTAGGCTAATTTAGAAGAAATTGTCTTAGATATCTAGTACTGCTGTAATAGAAATACCTTTAGTGGGTGGCTTTAACAAACATGAATTTATTTTCTCACAGTTTAGGAGACCCTAGGGGCTTTCTCTCTCTCTCTGCTCTGGGGGAAGGTCCGTGGTGATCCTGTGGCATGTATCCTAAAACCCCTCCATTTGTGCTTGCTTATTCTGCTATTTTATATCTCAGAAGAGATTGATTTAAGACATACATATATACAGCCTCATTAGCATTACATAGAAAACCTATTCCCGAATATAACCATAGGCATAATCTGTAAAAAACCCACTGCCATCGATTCCAACTCATAGCAACTCTATAGGAGAGAATAGAACCGCCCTGTGGAGTTTCCAAAGAGCGGCTGGCCGATTCGAATTACCGACCTTTTGGTTAGCAGCCAAGCTCTTAACCACTGTGCCAGCAGGGCTCCAACGACAAGTATAGGGGTTAGGATTTACAACACATATTTTCTGAGAAAACAATTCAATCCATAACAAAAATGGATTTTTATTTTTAAGTGTATTTAGTAGCTAATTGGCATCCTAGTGGTGCAGTGGTTAAGAGCTTGGCTGCTAACCAAAAGGTTGGCAGTTCGAATCCGTTCGCTGCTCCTTGGAAACCATATGAGGCATTCTGCTCTGTCCTGTAGGGTCACTGTGAGTTGGAATGGACTCGACAGCAACCAGTTAGTAGCTAATATTGTGCAAGTGGAGTTTTGAAGGGTTTTTCCACTTGTTGATCAGTGGATGCTAATAATGTTAGTGTTTAAAATTTGTAGTTCAAATATTATGTTAAGCAAGTTAATCATTCCTCGATATTAAATCAAAGTTTGTTTTGGTTTTTTATTTTTGAAATTTTAGATGTAAACTTGAGCTTAATTTCATCCAGGATCATGACGTTTCAAATGAGTGGAAGCTAAATCCGTTAAGTTTTATTATGTGGTTTATTTTTGGGAGAATGTAAAATATATAATTGGGTGGGATTTTTCTGCTGGGAAGTTTTTAGTTAATTTGGGCTCTGTGTATTGTATTAGCTTTTCACTTCTAAAGAGAGAACAATTCCAGTTTTCTTCATATTTTTAGTTGTTTGAAATGATTTGACAAAATAATACAAAATGGCTTCACCCTTAAATCTTCTAAAAATTATTTTGTTAGCAGTCACGTCTCATGGAGATAAAATATTTCGATGGAATACTTGCATTCCTGTTGTCCTTAGGAAGCATTGACTGCAACAGTTCCTAGTTTAAGATATTCTTCTTTGTATGTTTTTGTCATTTGGGATTGTTAACTGGAGCTTAACAGAAAGTGTTGGAAACTAAAACGAGTTTTATTTTTTCACCATAGAATTTTATTTGCTAGGGATTAGAGTTCAGTGCATTGGCCTGAGAATTCATCCTTTCGAAATTCCACTTTGGAGAGAGTCTGAATGACTCAGGAGACATCACACACGTGGCTGTGTTGCGTCAGAGGTTCTTGCGCATTGCCGTTGTCTTTTTATGCCTGGTCGCTGTGAGCCTTTCGTTTGATCTGTCTTACGTTCATGTGTGTCATAATGGGAAGGCCATTCAGTAGTGTATGTGCCTCAGACCTTGGTGATGATGAATAGCAGAGTAGTGTGGGTGACTTTTTTTTGATGGATTTCTGGTAATCCTCTCAACTTCTAGTAAATGTGATAATGGTTAATATAGTACTTTGTATTCCACCTAACAGCCTCGTGTGCTGCTGCAGGATGATGACTTAATCAGAATAATTTACAACTAGAATATATCTTTCCTATCACTTCCTTTTTAATATAGATGTGTATTATTTATTATAATTTAGTGCTTAGAATACTTGCCATCCAGATCCAAGTGAGAATTTCTTTTAATGATCAGTTTGTCAGATACTGGCTCATCTAATAATTGTGCAGATGCTGACAGTGTTTCCTCTGTGGTTTCACATTTTGGCTGTGATAGTGATGCATAGGATCATCCCCAAGGAAAACTATAAATTAGGTGAAACTAGATGCTCCATTTATGACTTACTATATTTACTTCAGATTTTCAGGATATTAATTTTACAAAAATGGGAACTGTATGTTAGACCTAACTTTCATTGGTTAGTATTATTCTTTCCTTGTATGGCTAATATTGTTAAGAAATTGAGCTGAAATTGTATGTGTTGAAATACCTGTAATATCTGATGTTGTTGTTACATCAAGTTGATTTCAACTCATAGCGACTCTATATGACAGACAGGAATTGCCCCATGGCGTTTCCTAGGCCGTAATCTTTATAGTAGCAGATCACCAGGTCTTTTCTCCCATGGAGCAGCTGGTGGGTTCGAACCGCCGACTTTTTGGTTAGCAACCAAGTGCTTAACTGTTGTACCACCAGGAGGGCTCCTTGTAATGCCTGATAACTTTTGCTTAATTCAGCCAGGATATTGTTAACAATGGGGGCTATCAGGGTGCAGTGGTTAAAGAGCTCGGCTGCTAGCCAAAAGGTCGTGGCTCAAACCCATCAGCCACGCTGTGGGAGAAAGATGTGATAGTCTGCTTCTGTAAAGATTTACAGCCTTGGAAACTCTGAGGCAGTTCTACTCTTGTCATATAGGGTCGCTATGTGTTGGAATCGACTTGATGGCAGTGGGTTTGGTTTGGTTTGGTTTGCGGTATTGTTCACAAATCAGACAATAAGAGTTTGATTTATAATTTATAGTAATACTTTTCTTTTAACTTATAAATATATTATGATTTACAAATACACCTTTTCCCCCTTTTAAATCAAATATGCAAGTTAACATACCTTAGAATTGAATTTCTAAAACTAATGAATTGGTTAGATAAAAATATTGTTCTTATTAGGAATTGGCAACTATATTTAAACAGCATAAATTACTGTTGGTGCTGCTGTACCTTTTACGTTTTTCAGTCACAGCACTCAGCATATTGTGTTCAGTGATTGGCTTACATGCCTGTCATTTCTACTCAGGTATAAGTTTCTTGAGAATAAGAACTGTCTTACCACTCTTATTTTCACAGTGGTTAGCACTGTGCTGGTGCATGTGGGCACAGTGTTTGAACTAGTGAACATACTTAAATAACTGTAAATATAATTAATTTCAAAGGACAGTATGAAACTCCATGATTGCTCAGTGTTATGTGAGGAAGAAGAGGAAGATGAAGGAGAAGCTGCAGATATGGAAGGTATTTGTCTTCTAGATTTGCTGTCATCACACTGCATTATTTTTTTGGCAGTATTTCTAATTGATGGATGTAGAATTCTACTCCACTGAGTTCTAAATATTAATGTTTAGCACCCTAGAGAGATTTTGTTTAGTTTAAATTTAATCAGTGCAAAACTCACCTTGATCTTGGACTGTCCTACTTTACCTGGAGCATAGTCTTGAGAGCACTATTTCTACTAGGAAGAATGTTAGTCATAAATCTCTAATGCTGGATAAAGCTACAAGATAACAGACTCTTAAGCTACTTCTTAAACTGTTTATTTCAGAGCGTAACAAAGTTTGCTCATGTGATTTTGTAGTTTTTCCTCCTTTTTTGATATCACCTTTCTGCTAAAACCCTAAGAGAGTGATTCTTAATGGGGTCTTTTCAAACTGCCCAGAATCCCTTCAGTCTTCCCTGAGATTCTGGAATGCCCTGCTAGGACTGCTAGTGGAAGGTCGAGGTCACTGCATTAGTGGACCATTGTTTCCAAGATTGAAAGCCACTGCACTCAGAACGGAGTCACACAGGTCTATGAATATATGACTCTTAATAGCTTCCTATTTTATTAATAAGATAATCTCTTAATGTATGAAACCTCAGATATTTAAAAATAGGTGAAGATACTGCTGTCACTAGGGTTACCTCTCTGTTAAGTCAATCCATCTTTACAATACTTCTCTTCCCTGCGTCTGACTCTGTTAACTGTCTCTCCTCCTTTTTTCCTCCCTTGGTCTTTGTGACTGAATTTTCCTCCTCCTTCCTGAACTTTCTTCTCAGTCTTGTGGGGCTCTTGTCCTACTTCCCGGCTGGTATTTAATGGGCGCTTGTTTTTCTCCACTTGCTCTACACTTCAGATTTTATTTACTGTCGTGGCTTGTGTACTGGCACACTGTGATCCGGCAATGAAATTTGTGCAACAGGAAAAACGATGTATAAGTCACATCAGATTTTCTATGAAAGTTTAAATATGGATTGCTACACACACACACGCGCGCACACACACACACACACATACATATAGAGTATGTCAGCCCTGGGAGAAAGGAAGAGAATGTGAAAAAGAGAAGGGTAGCCATTGGAGGATGTAAGGTGGCTGAACCCCAGAACTGTAGATTGAGATGGGTATGTCTTATAGCATGTAGAAGTAAAAGATGGTGTCAGTTAGAGGTGATGTACCATCTTTGCAAGTGGTGGACAGATGGTTGCTAAAGGGGTTGACAGCATAGCCTAATTGCCAGAGTAGCCTGACTCAAACTGTCTTTTAGTTCTAGTTCCCAAATTACTTTCGAACCCCATGAAACCTAGCTGTATATTCGTGCCTAAATTCCAGTAAGATTTTTTTGTTTATTCCCATGGTAAATGCCTGTTCCTGAGGAAATCTGAATGAGTTCCTTGTAACCACAACTGCTCAGAACAACCTCCCACACCGTTTTCTGTGCTCAGGACGTCCATGTCCAAACCCCAGACCAGGTCTCCTGAACTTCAGATCTGCTTGTTCACTTTTGTTTCCTCGTGGATGACTCACAGTTGTCAAACTGAACTCATCACCTTCTTGCACAAATACCCTTTGTGGACTCTTTCTGTGAATGTCACACAGTTGGCAGGCTTGGGTGGAGAAATGGGGAGAACTTTCAGAGTCCAAGGTGTGGGACTGCCTTAAACATCTGAGCCTTTTAGTACGTTTATTATATTTCCTTCCCTTGGGTAGAGTTAAGGAAAGAATTGCTTTACAAGAAATTTTGCTCAAAAACTATTTTGATGTGTATCTAATATAACAAGTAGTTAATTTCCACCTATTCTTGGTGCTGGAAATGAAGCAGTAGATGTGATCTCATGGAGCATATATTCTAATTAGGGAAGGCAGGCGAAGAACAGTAGAGCAAAGTATATGCTGTATTAGGTGATTGTAAGTGTCACAGAGAAAAATAAAGGAGGGAAGGAGGTGGGGAGTCCTGGGCCAGGGGCAAGTGTTGGCTGTTTTTAAATAGGTTGGTGAAGAAAGGCCTCATTGAGAATATATCATTTGAGTAGAGCTCAGAAAGAAGCGCGTGAACAAGCCATTTGGGTTTCTGGGGGAAGAGTGCAGAGAGGGCCCGAAGTGGCTTCTGTGAAATCCTGAGAGGAGCCTACTGCGTCTAGAGCAGGTGAGAGGAGAGTGTAAGAGGTGAGGCCAGAGTGGGAAGCAGGGACTAGGTCATGTAGGGCCCTGGCTTTGACTAGATGAGGGGAGAAACCATTGGAGGCTTTTCTAAGTAGAGGAGTGACATGATTCAACATTGACAGCATCACTCTGACTGCAGTATGAATAGACTGAAGGGGGAATGGGAGAATAATGGAAGGCTGTTGTGATAGTCTAGACAAGAAATAATGGTGGCTTGGGCAAGGATGGTAACATTGAAAGTGAAGGTAGGGCCAAAGGGATTTGCTGCTGGATTGGGTGTGGGATGTGAGAGAGACTTGGAGTCAAGTGTGACTCTAAGGTTTTTGACCTGAGCACCTGGAATGATGCCATTAATAGAGATGGGAAAATTATAGGACTGAACAGCTTCAGAGGTGGAATCAGGAGCTCAGTTTTGACATGTGATGTTTGCAATGCCCATTAATCATTTCAGGTGGAGACATAAAGTAAGTCAGGGAGTCGGAATTAATTTGGAAGTCATCAACATATAGATGGTATTTAAAGCCATTGAAATGGGTTGAAATTGACAAGGGAGTAAATTTCAGTAGAGATGTGGCAAGATGTGAGAGCTGAGGCTTTGGTTCCTGCAGTATTAAGAAAAAAAGTACAGAGGAGATGAAGAGAACCAGCATAGGAGAGAGTGAAGGAGCAGCAGTGAGGTGGGAGGAAAACACAGTATCTGACAAGCCAAGGAAAGAAGCATTGCAAGAAGGAAGGGAAATTGCCATGTTACTGAATGGTCAGTTACTATGAAGACTGGGAATGTGCCTCTGGGTTCAGCAAAGTGGAGTTCACTGATGACTTTAATAAGCATGTTTTATCCAATTATGTAAATAGCCTGGTATATACTGTGGAGTCACTGTGGATTCTATAGTAGTATTATGCCAGTTGCTATTGTTGATGCACTGTACCATAGACCAAGCCTTAAGCCCTCTGACTGTCTCTGGGTTTTGTGAAGTATCTGCTACTTTGAAAGGACAGAATTAGTTCACTGGTGTCTATTCAGTGTCTTCAGTTAAAAACAAAAGCAAAACCAGGGTTTGAATGATGCCCTGAGGTAATGTAATATAATTTGGTTTAGGGGTTATCTTGGACTTGATTAACCTTTTGTTGCTTTTTATAACAGAGTATGAAGAGAGTGGATTGTTGGAAACAGATGAGGTTTGTAAATTGAGTTTTCTTTAGTTAATTTTTAATGAATGAACTTGGGGATTACTGTTCTTACTAATAATAATCTGATGTTTCAAATAAGTTTTTACTTCTATGTTTACATGGATTATAACATATATGTTTTACCTTTGAGTTTTAAATTATCTCTGCTCATAAGGAAAAAACAACAAAATGTAGGGTGGGAAAAATAAATTTTCTATAATACCATATTCATACTAATTTTAATGTTCCAAATTTTTCTCCATTATTATATGCCAGGCTACCCTAGACACAAGGAAAATAGCAGAAGCTTGTAAATCTAAAACTGATGCTGGAGGTGAAGATGCAATTTTGCAAACCAGAACTTACGACCTTTACATCACTTACGATAAATACTACCAGACGCCACGGCTATGGTTGTTTGGCTATGATGAGGTAAAAGTAAAAGAATATTTGTTTCAATGTAAATATTTTAAATTATTGGATTTAATTCCTTTATTAGGTATGTGACTGTATATTATGTTCTTTTAAATTTCAGAAATCATTTGTTTTTCAATTTTATGATTAATATTTTTTATCTTGAGGATGCTAAATTACTCAGTGTGATAACAATGATATTAAAATTTAAACAGAAATAATCTATTGCATGTTTATTCCTTGGCCTCTGATTTCATCCCTTCAAAATGTGAGGGGAATTGAACCTGGTTTGTTGTATTAAATTCTGTGTGGAATTAGATTTGTTGTATGTATTGGCATTTGTGTATGATCATATCATACGTACCTTTCCCCTTAAGACACAAACCCTTTTTCACTCATCTGTTTAATTGGAGCCCTGGTGGTGCAGTGGTTAAGAACCATGGCTGCTAACCAAAGGGTTGGCGGTTTAATCCACCAGCCGCTCCTTGAACCCTCTGTGGGGCAGTTCTGCTCTGTCCTGTAGGGTTGCGATAGCTTGGAACTGACTAGACGGCAGTAGGTTTTGTAGCATTAGGTGGTGGTTAATGCCAGTTAGACTAGATGTACAGGCTTGCTGGCACAGATTGATTGTAAACTTCCCCTCAGATTCTGGTGATTCTAAATAGTATGAAGTTTTAAATTGTGAGTGAAAGGAGGTGGGGGTGGGGAGAATAAAAAGATTATAAACATTGATATTTTAGGCTAAAAGTTTCTTAACAATAATTTCAAGGCATTGTTTTATGCTTTCAGCAACGGCAGCCTTTAACAGTTGAGCATATGTATGAAGATATCAGTCAAGATCATGTGAAGAAAACAGTGACCATTGAGAATCACCCTCATCTTCCACCCCCTCCTATGTGCTCAGTTCACCCATGCAGGCCTGTAGATATTTTGTGTGTATTTATGTGTGTGGGTGTGTCTCGTATGCTTCATGGGTTTATTACTTGGGGATCTATAAACCTAGTGCCCTAACAGAAGAGATCTACTTAATAAGCAGATAAAATTCCCTTTTATCTTCTTAGAAATGCTCTTATGCTTAGTTAAATGTGTAAGAAAAATGGGGAGGGGGGGAAGCTTACCAAGTTATTTTAACATACTAAGAATGTGTGTGTGTTTATTTACAGAATGGGTTTTGTGATTGTACCCCTATTTTTCAAGAATAGATTTGAAGATCCTGTTTTAAATTTAAAAATACTCATCATTTAGACACAGTTTGCTCTAACATGGATGCATATTCCTGTGAATGTAGAGTATAAAGTTGACCTTGTACTTTTTCTAGGTGACCTACTTATCTCCTTTTACTGGGAGATGTGGTATGAGGATTTCTGCATTCCTTTATTCTTCAGTTAAGAGGTCTGAAGCCTTATCAAATCAAGTGCATTTTATAATTTGGGATTTCATCTAACTAGTCTTATAGACTAGTTCTGTCATAGACAGTATGGTTCTTTGTTGAGAGTAATAAAGGAAAAGGGGGATAGAAGTAGGGAATAAGACCCTCTTATGGCTCACTCCTGCTGTGTGTCTCAGTCCTTAACCCTCATCATGAGTCACAAATTGCCTAAGTTCAAAGGTCAGGATTCTTATCGCGTTCTGTACTTGCATTAATGTTTGCTTTGTTTGGAATTGCATATTGCAGTAAGGATTTTCTTTTTGCCAGTATGTTTTCAGACGGCCAAATGAGTGAGGCCGAGCCTATATGCACAATTTGCTCAGAACTTTACTTTTAAAAATGATGTTACATTGTAATTTCTTTTGGGTTAGTTATTTTTAATAGCTAGCTTTCACAACTCATTGAAAAGTACTGATAGTATACTGGTAACATTTTTTAGATGAAAACTCTGATGATATCCCATTGACCAGTTAGATGAAACATTTTGTTGTCCCTCCCAGCCCCTTCTGTGGTTTAAAAAAAAAACCACACATTAAGATTTTCTTCTCACTGTCACCTCTTTACTGCCAGACTTTACCTTGTAGAAAGCTGAGTTCATTATTCCAGTTTATTTATGTCGAGAAGCATTAATAACCATTAGAATTATCCAACATAATCTGAAAAGTTTACACTTTTGAGAAGTTTTCTGTTGGCTCCTCTTAGGGTTTGAGGTTTTAGGGTTGTGCTGTGAAACAGAAGCAGGTCTCTTTCTGAGGTATAAGTTTTACTCAGAGTTGAGGAAGAGAGGCAAGTTATTTAACCTGTAGTTAATTTTAAACATTTTAATAAATAAACGTGGCTGTATTACGGAACGGGATGTAAATACGGCTGAAGGCCTATCAAATGAGGCTTTAGGGACATTTAGGTTTTTCCATGGACCATCTCAGAGCATGCTTTCAGATCCTCAAGGCTAATACGTTCGCTCTCATCTTCTGGGTTGATTGCCTGTGTCATCAAGGTTATATTAATAAAAATTTGAGAGGCAATATTCAAGCCTCCTATATGTATGCAAGGTTATTTCTTTCTTTTGTACCTTTCCTTTTATTAGTTTACATGCCTAATTATTTTGGTGTTACTCTTTTCTATAGCACAGGAGAGATACCAGTTGGCCATGAAAAGATCTGTGCATAGGACAAAACCTTTATTTCTAAATAGAATTAAATAAATTTTGTAATACCCATTAGGGCAAAGGAAAAAAATACACTCTTGCCTCTGACCAATTAGCATTTCTTTGAACCTTACACTTTGGCTTATCCTCAGCTAAATATTTAAGCAGTCAGAAATCCCAGGACTTTAGATACGTCTTTGCTATTTTGACCAACAGTTACCATGTAGCTTTTTGAACTTACTGGTCTAAGTTTGTTCCTCAGAGCCCATGGCCATCGCCTAGCATTTACTTCCTGGCATCACTGCCCTTCCTCTTGTTTTCTACTGCCGTACATCCCATCTCAGAGGAGAGCTGATAGTCCATTGTGCGTGTTGTGACTGCCACAGTTGGCTTCGTGGCTCAGCAGTCTGACTTGTTGCAAGGGCAGGGAGGGCATATTTTACAACACAACTATTCTGTGTTAAAAATCAATTCACTGATAATAATAAGGTAGATTACTTCACAAGTAAAAACTTGCTTTTCCGAATATTTTTATTGATCTGCACTGATAAGATTTGTTCTTTTGCTTTTAGGCATGCTGAGGTGATGAAGAAAATCATTGAAACTGTTGCAGAAGGAGGGGGAGAGCTTGGTGTTCATATGTATCCTTCTGTGTGTGTGTGTGCTTGTGAGAGAGATTGGGGGCAAACTGGCACTTAGTTTTTTTTTCCTTTTGGGGAAATTTAGTGTAACCTTAATGACAATACCTATAACTTGTTTGGCCCCTCATATCTGGAAGTCCTAGTGGGAGTTTTTATTTGGAAAATATTATATTGTGATAGTCATGCCTTGTTTATGATTAGCACATGTCCTTGTGTACATCAGTTAGTTCTGCCTTATTACAGAGCCTCAGGTTAATATATACTTCTAGGCCAACAGCTTGCCAAATGCTTATTTGTCTTAGAGGTAGAATGGTTAAGAGTGTGTGAATGGGTTAGTGCAAAACCATTGCTCTTGATGGAGAAGAACTCAGTGGACTTTATTTATTGATGAAAGATGAGTAACCTACTAATTTAGAAGATAACGCATGAGTATCTTTTCCTTAAGTCTATTTCCAATTTAATGTATTACCATGTTTACTTTTTCCATGTAAAAGTTAAGTTAGATTGTGTCAGTCTGGGGTCTCCCTAAAGCAAAGAGTTCAACTTAAGCAAGTTGGTTAACTGAAAAGTAATGCACGTGAGGCGTATTTCAGATATTTTAAAAATACAGTATTTTCATTTTTCACCAGATAAGAGCACCCTTGTTGTATCTTACTATGGTTTTTTTTAATTTAGTTTTCCAAGCTTGACAAGAGGAATAAATCAAAATCACTGTCCGAGTACACTCTCGTATCCCTCCATACATGTACCCGTAGCATGATTTCATCCAGAGCAGTTAAAACCAATGATTTAGATGCCAGACACTTTGAATTAGTTTGGTGCTAGGTTGGTGCCGGACTTGATGGTTCATGCCCGTAGTGTTAGATGTAGACCGAAAGGTCCATCTGATACACCACAGTGTTGGAGCTACAGTAACCTAAGCATCACTAATAAAGTATATCCCTTTAGAGAAACTTTTGTCTGATTTGATATTGAAACAAACCAAGAACTACAGTGCAAACCAGATTTGCTCTGGAAATCCTATTATGCATAGTTTGAGTATTCATCTTTATGTTCCCCCAATAAAAATTAAGTAAGCTCTTAATGCTCCTAAGTGCAATGGAACATAGAAAAAATTCAGAATTTTATTAAAGACAGTCCAATATAACAGAGTTTGGCAAGTACATACATTAACCTAGAAACAGTCCATTATGGAGGATTTTGACTTTTTTTTTTTTTTTTCTCTTTTGCTTCAGTGCGTTTATAGTCTTCATTCTGCTCATTTTCTCTAACTTATACTCTAGCAATATCATAAGCAATAAAGCGGCCGTTTTCCACTTAAATGTGAATAGCCTTGCTGTTCTTTTTCATCAAGCTAATCGGGCCTGCCTACAACAATATATGAACTCTTACTCATTAGGAGGTTTCAGACTCAGGTATTAAATGGCAGTGGGTGGTCACAGAGTCTTAAAGTCATAGAGAGCCTCATTGAATAGACACAAACTTGTATGAGTGAATTTCTGTAAGATTTTTCTCTTAAAATCTTTAAGATGGAACTGTTTTTGAGAAATTATTGCTTAAGAAGATTGATAATTACAGTGTTAGCTTAAAACATTGAATTATTTAAAAATATTTTCCTTAGCTAAAGACCTTTAGGTATCTTCTAATTTTCTTGAAATTTGTACAAGCTGTCATTCCAACAATAGAATATGACTACACAAGACACTTCACAATGTAATGAAGAGAGCATAGAATCTATCCTAATTACTGGTTCTAATTTTTAAAGAATTAACCCATAGATGTGACCGTTGACCATATTCACCAATATATATAATTTCTCTAATAAAGGGACTTATATGTTTATGCATTAAATAAAAGTGTTCTGCTACCAGCCTTATTTGTTTAATAAAAATGAGTGTAAAGAGATGCTTTTTTGCTTCTTATCAAAAGGTTATAATGGGATTTTCCTAAATAACAGCTCTTTTAATGAAGAAGTGTGCAATATAGAATGATGACAGTATTTTTAGTTAAATTTATGAAGAAGGCATTAAATGTGTAATAGAATGTCTTAGTTTCCTAGTGCTGCTGTACCAGAAGTGCTACAAGTGGGTGGCTTTCCAGAACAGAAATTTATCTTCTCATAGTTCTGGAGACTAAAAGGCCTAGTCAGGGTCTCAGCTATGTGGATTTCTTCCTTGAGCCTCTCCCTTAGTTTCTGGTGTCTGCTGGCAATCTTTGGAGTTCCTTGGCTTGTAGAGGATCCTTTCCCTGTATGCTTGTCTATTCTGGTCTTTAGAAAACTCAGAAGTGATTAGGTTTAGGATCTACCCTACACTGGTATGACCTCAGCTGACTGATTACATTACGTTGTATTATGGAAGGTGATTACATTATATTACATTGAGTGTAATTGCATTACGTTGAATTAGATTGCATCCACAGATCTAGGCTTTAGGATTCCAACACACATTTTGAGGGAATACAGTTCAGCTCATAACAGTATCAAAACTAGGATAGAAGAGAAGCTAAACAAAAGATACAGAAGACCTAAAGGGCACAATCAGCCAACTTGACTTCACAGAACATAGAACACTCCACCTACAGCTGCAGAGTACACATTCTTCTCCAATGCACATGGAACGTTCTCCAGAATAGACCACATCTTAGACCATGGAGCAATCCTCAACAAGATCCAAAAAAGTTAAGATAATACAACGTATGTTCTCTGAACACAAGGCCATCAAGGTAGAAATTAACAGAAAGAGCAAAGAAAATAATTACATGGAAACTGAACAACACCCTGCTTACAAACCACTGAGTAACAGGAGAAATCAGAGATGGAATAAAAAATTCCTATAATCAAATGAGAAAAAACATCGTATCAAAACCTTTGGGACACAGCAAAGGCAGTCTTCAGGACAATTTATAGCAGTAGATGCACACATCAAAAAAGAAGGGACAGGAGAGACTCCGGCAAGATGGCGCTCTAGGCAGAAGCACCATGCCGTCCCTCCACAACAAAGATCCGAAAAACTAAGCCAAACAGAGAATCAACAATCCTGAAACCGTAGAACATCAAATGAAGAGATAAAGAACTCAGCCG